CGTGGCCATTGCTGCTATGAACATTGTAGTGCAGATGGCGCTTCTTTTCACTACATCTGTATCTTTGGGGTAAATACCCAGTAGTGCAATTGCAGGGTCATAGGGAAGCTCTATATTTAATTTTTTTAAGGAATCTCCACTCTGTTTTCCAAAGTGGTTGCACCAACTTGCATTCCCACCAACAGTGTGAGAGGGTTCCCCTTTCTCCACATCCTCTCCAACACACGTTGTTTCCTGTCTTGTTAATTTTGGCCATTCTAACTGGTGTAAGGTGGTATCTCAATGTGGTTTTAATTTGAATCTCCCTGATGGCTAGTGATGATGAACATTTTTTCATGTGTCTGATAGCCATTTGTATGTCTTCATTGGAGAAGTGTCTGTTCATATCTTCTGCCCACTTTTTGACATGATTATCTGTTTTGTGTGTGTTGAGTTTGAGAAGTTCTTTATAGATTCATTCTTTGACACATAGCGGTCCAATTTTCCCAGCACCATTTATTGAAGAGACTGTCTTTTTTCCACTGCATATTTTTTCCTGCTTTGTTGAAGGTTATTTCACCATAGAGTTGAGGTTCCATATCTGGGCTCTCTACTCTGTTCCACTGGTCTATGTGTTTTTATGCCAGTGCCATGCTGTCTTGGTGATCACAGCTTTGTAGTAAAGCTTGAAATCAGGCAACGTGATGCCGCCAGTTTTGTTTTTCTTTTTCAACATTTCCTTTGCAATTCTGGGTCTCATCTAATTCCATACAAATTTTAGTATTGTTTGCTCCAGCTCTTTGAAAAATACCGGTGGAATTTTGATCAGAATGGCATTGAAATTATAGATTGCTCTAGGCAGTATAGAGATTTTAACAATGTTTATTCTTCCAATCCACGAGCACAAAATGCTTTTCCATCTTTTTGTGTCTTCTTCGATTTCTTTCATGAGTATTCTATAGTTCCTCGAGTACAGATCCTTTACCTCTTGGCTTAGGTTTATTCCCAGGTATCTTATTGTTCTTGGTGCTATATTAAATGGAATCGATTCTCTGATTTCCCCTTTTGTATTTTCATTGTTAGTGTATAAGAAAGCAGCTGATTTCTGTACCGTGACTTTGTATCCTGTCACATAAGTCATACAGCATTTCAGTAATGTGGCAGGATAATTTATAATTTTTAACTGATTCTTCTAGATTCTATACCCAGATCTCATAGAGCATGCATATATTGTCTCTTCTTGACTTCTCACCCGTAGGCATTATTCACTATCTTCCCACTCTGGATGATGGGGATGCAATGCTCTATTATTATGGAAACCACACCACATGTGCATATTTCTACCCCACCCCCTTAACATTTTAATTTTAGATAATGTCATAGTCAGTATCTACATTATAATGACAATAACACTGTGTTTTATACTCAATCTCTTTTTTCTTTCAAGATTTTATTTAAATTAAGTTAGTTTACATATAATAGTGTTAGTTTCAGGGGTAGAATTTAGTGATTTGGGGTGCCTGGGTGGCTTAGTGGGTTAAGCCTCTGCCTTCAGCTCAGGTCATGGTCTCAGGGTCCTGGGATCGAGCCCCATGTCGGGCTCTCTGCTCAGCAAGGAGTCTGCTTCCCCCTCTCTCTCTGCCTGCCTCTCTGCCTGCTTGTGATCTCTCTTTCTGTTAAATGAATCTTAAAAACAAAAATTAGTGATTCACCAGTAACATATGACACCCAGTGCTTATTACATCAGGTGTCTCAACCTTGTAACATTCCCAGCTTTTGTTTGCATTGATCTACTCATGTGCATTTTGGGTAACCACCACCATATTCAGGGTACAGAACAATTCCATGGCTGCAGAGCTTACCCTTGTGGTAGCCTCTCTTGGTGACAGCCAGCCCCACCACCCAAACCTCTGGCACATGCCGATCTGTTCTCTATAACTTTGAGAATGTTGTTGAAGTGGAGTCCCACAGTATGGACATTTTGAGAGTGGTTTTGATCACTCCACATAAAGCCTTTGGAATCTCACAAGTTGGGCACATGTAAATCAGTTATGCCTTTTTATTGTTGTGTAGCATTTCCTGGTAGGAAAGCACCACAGTTTGTTCAACCATTCACTTATCACTGGGCATTTCACATGTTTCCAATTTTTTTCCCATTTGAGAAAAGCTGCTCTAAACATTCAGTCAGAGATTGTGTGAAGCTATTGTCTTCAATGTGCTCAGAAAAATGCTGGGGAGAGTGATCTCTGGGACATAAAACATGCTTCCTCTCCAGAAAGAGGAAGAAATGATGCTTTTTGTTAGAGGCAAGCACATACAACTTCTTTTTTAATGATTTTATTTCTTTATGTAAACTTTACACCAAACTTGGACCCAAACTCACAACCCCATGATCAAGAGTTGCTCACTTCACCAACTGAGCCAACCACATACCCTAAGCAAATATAACTTCTGAAGTCCACACTGCACTGCGCATTTGGGCTAAGTTTCCATCAATAAGAGGTTGGCATAGGGAGTCATTTCTGGAGCAGACCTCATTTGACCCCAAAATTTTTTAGGTCCTGACGAACCCATTTCATGGTCCAGCTCAGTAGCTCTTACTGGAAGCTGGTGCAGAATGAGGTCACAAGCCAGCCACCCCCAGATGTCCAGAACTCAGGAGATGAGACACAGCTTCCAACTGCAGATCCTTCTTAGCCTGGGGCTCCCACGTGGAGAATCACCATGAAGACCTGAAGATGGGGGAGAGGCCCAGGGCAGAAAGCAGAGGCCCCAGGCGGACAAGAACCATCATTTTTGCTGGGTCTGTCCACTCTCTCTGAAACATAAGAAGAATTTCTTCCAAATTATTTCTTATGACTGAGTTCCAGTTTCAAAGTACTATGGTCTGAGAAATTGCGAGCAATAATCTCAATCTTTTGGTATTAGTTGAGACCTAATATGTGACCCAGTCTGTGGTCTATTCTGGAGAAAGTTCCATGTGCACTTGAGAAGAATGAGTATTCTGTTGTTTTAGGGTGGAATGTTCTGTATGTATCTATGAAGTCCATCTAGTTCAGTGTGTCATTCAAAACTCTTGTTTCTTTGTTGATTTTCTCCTTAGATGGATCTGTCTGTTGCTGAGAGTGGGGTGTTGAGGTCTCCTACTATTAATGTTTTATTATCAATATGTCTCTTTATTTTGTTTAACAGTTGCCTTCTATAGTTGACTGTTCCCATGTTGGGAGCATAGATATGTCCAATCGTTAGATCCCCTTGTTGGATAGACACTTTAAGAATGATATAGTGTCCTTTTGTATCTCTAACTATGGTCTTTAGCTTAAAATCTAAAGGATGAAAGACCTCAGTGTGAGACAGGAATCCATCAAAATCCTAGAGGAAACATAGGCAGTAACCGCTTCAACATCAGCCACAGAACATTCTTTCAAGACACGTCTCCAAAGGCAAGGGAAACAAGAGCAAAAATAAACTTTTAGGGGGCGCCTGGGTGGCTCAGTGGGTTAAAGCCTCTGCCTTCGGCTCAGGTCGTGATCTCAGGGTCCTGGGATCGAGCCCCGCATTGGGCTCTCTGCTCCACAGAAAGCCTGCTTCCTCCTCTCTCTCTTCCTGCATCTCTGCCTAGTTGTGTTTTCTCTCTGTCAAATAAATAAAATATTTTAAAAAAATAAAATTAAAACATTAAAAAAAACTTTTAGTACTTCATCAAGATAAAAAGTTTCCGCACAGCAAAGGAAACAGTCAACAACATCAAAAAAGGAGACAACCCATGGAATGGGAGAAGATATTTGAAAATGACACTACAGATAAAGGGCTGGTATCCAAGATCTGTAAAGAACTTCTCAAACTCAATCCACAATGAACAAATAATCAAGTCAAAAAATGGGCAGAAGACATGAACAGACATTTCTCCAAAGAAGACATACAAATTGCTAACAAACATATGAAAAAATGTTCACCATCATTAGTCATCAGGCAGATTCAAAACAAAACTATATTGAGATACCACCTTACACCAGTTAGAATGGCAAAACCTGACAAGACAAGAAACAAGAAATGCTGGAGTGGTTGTGGAGAAAGGAGAACCATCTCACACTGTTGATAGGAATGCAAGTTGGTACAGCCACTGTGGAAAACAGTGTGGAGGTTCCTGAAAAAGTAGAAAATAGAGCTACCCTACAGCCCAGCAAATGCTCTACTGGGCATTTACCTCAAAGATACAGATGTAGTGAAAAGAAGGGCCACATGCACCACAATGCTCATAGCAACAACGTCCACAATAGCCAAACTGTGGAAAGAGCTGAGATGCCCTTCAACAGATGAATGGATAAAGAAGATGTGGTTCATATGGAATGGAATATTACTCAACCACCAGAAAGGATGAATACCCAACTTTTGTATCAACATGGATGGGACTGGAGGAGATTATGCTGAGTGAAATAAGTCAGAGAAAGTCAAATATCATATGGTTTCCCTTATTTGGGAACATAAGGAATAGCATGGAGGACATTAGGAGAAGGAAGGGAAAAATAAAGGTGGGGAACTTAGAGCAGGAAACCAAGAATGAGAGACTATGGACTCCGGGAAACAAACCTAGGGTTTTAGAGGGGAGGGGAGTAGGGGGATGGGTGAGTCCAGTGATGGGTATTAAGGAGGGCACGGATTGCATGGGGCACTGGGTGTTATACACAAACGAAAAATCATGGGACAGTACATCAAAAACTAATGATGTACTACATGGTGATTAAGATAACATGATAAGAATTTAAACACACACACACACACACACACACACACACACACACACACACTCAAAAACAAAACATAAGAAGAGGCCCCTCTCACCATGTGAGGACTCTCTGCCTGACTTCTGTTTCACAATCCAGAAGCAGATCGCTGCCTCACAGCCCTGTCACTGCATCATATAGGCTTCCTTCCTCTTCCATCACCAGAGGGGCAGGCTGCTCCTCCCCACAGAATAGAGGGCCCATTGCCCCAGAGCATACATTTGCAGAGAGTGGGACCCTCAGGCCTCCACAATGTGGGCCCCTGCTTGTGGAACCCAGCCTCCTCCTCACTGGCTGCTGGTTCTGCTGTTGGGACTCACAGGTGAGCACTGCCTTGAGGGAGACTCCCCTTTCCATGCCTCCTCAACCTCTCCCTCCCCCTGGGCATTTAGGACCTCCAGGTAAACACAGGTGTGCTACACAGACCCTCCGCAGAAGGCCTGCCTGGTAGCTATGACTGTACTCCTGAATAGCAGATGGGGAAACTGAGGCAGAGAGCGCAACCAGTCCAGTGCCACCAACTTAAGTCAGTGGAGCTACTGCGGTTCATGTCCACTCAGCTCCACAGTTCATCCTGTTAACCATGTTATGCTGCCTGGCTCCTCAGTGGAGGCCAAGATCAGAAATATCAGAAACACAGAGAGGCAAACAGAAGGAGAGCCATCCCACATTACACGCAGAGGTCTCCAGAATTCCACTGTGCTGCGTGTACTCACAAACTCTTGTTAATGATGTGCTGCATGTTTCCTAGGTGCCAAGATTGTTACTGAAGTTTAACATGTACTATAATTTCACTTAAGGAAGTTGTGTTTCTCGATGTCTCCAGAGTCTAGCTAGTCACCAAGGCAGGAAATCCAGCTGCAAAGTCAAACCTGCTCTGTGCCACATCACTGAGCCTCTCTGTGTCTTTGTTTCCTTGGTTCTGATGGGGTCTCCCGTTACAGACTTGGGAGAGCTACTCTCGGTGCGCACTCGGTCAGGGAGCTGTTGTGCGTAAACACGTGAGGAGACGCGAAGGATCGCGGCAGGATGAGTAGACGACTGCTCTGTTTTCCCTCCAGGTGCGGCTGGTGAGGCGAGGCTGCAGGTGATCCAGCCTGACAAGTCAGTGTCTGTCATAGCTGGACAGACAGCCACTCTGTACTGCACCATGACCTCCCTGTTCCCCCCAGTGATGGTTCAGTGGTTCAGGGGGACAGGGCCAGGCCGGGAGTTAATCTTCAGTTTCAAAGGAGGACACTTCCCCCGAGTAACAAATGCTTCAGACACCACAAGGAGAAACAACACAGACTTTTCCATCTGTATCACTAACATCACCCCAGCAGACACCGGAACCTACTACTGTGTGAAGTTCCAGAAAGGGACCCCTGATGTGGAGTTTAAGTCTGGACCAGGCACCCAGGTCACTGTGAGTGGTGAGTATGGCCTGGGCCTCCTCTGTCCCCTGGTTGTGACAACAAGTCAATAAGAATGCCCTCCATTGTCTGACCAACAGCTAAGAACCAGGCACTGTGGTGGGTGTCCCCGACTTCATCCCCTTCCACGGATCAGGGAAGTTGAGGCCTGGAGAGGTCCTGATACTTGCTTAAGGCCCCTGATAAATGGTGGGAAAGTCCAGAACCCCAGTCTGTGAGTCCAAAGCTGTCGACCTTTCCAATCCTGACCAACTCTCTGGTTCCAGGGATGAGGGACATACAGTCTGAGTGACTTAGCCAGTCACATGACACAATCTAACTCCTGCCTCCAGAGAGTGTCCCCTCCATGTAGCTGACTCTTCTCTAACTCAACACTTACTGAGCAACTGCTGTGTACAGGCTCTCCTCTGTGTGCAGGGGAAGCAGAAAACAAAACAGGGAAGGGCTCCTTTCTCCTGAAACTCACATTCCCTCCCTTTCCTGTGGACAAATGCACCCAGGGCAGGGAGGTGGGATATGTCTTTCTTTCAACATAGAAGAATCACAGTGAGAAGAGGTATAAACTCACTGTTTACGCTGAGAGCCCAGGATGGAGAAGATGCCAGAGGCTGGGCATTTGTTGTGGGTCTGTCCAAAAAGCATCATGCAATTCAACGACTGACTTCCATAAGAGCACTGAGTCTCCCCTCACCTCCTGGACATAGGCATGCAGGTGGTTTTATCCTGATTGTGCAGGTGTTACAGGAGTTCCCAGTGGTATGTCCCTTGCCTGAGCACCAGCGCTAGTACGTGGCTCTAGCACTGGGCAGATCTGTTCCGCCTGGGAGAGTTCTCCCTCCTCTTCCCCAACCTGCCCACACAGGGGATGCCCTGGTTGAGAATGGATGAAGCTGGAGGGACCATCTCAGCCCATTTACAGATGAGGACACTGAGGCTCAACAGACCCGGCCTGAGCAGGGAAGTAAGCCACAGCCTGACTCACAGACCTGCTCTCTGCACACTCACTGTGCTGGCCAAAGTGGGAGAAAGTGCCAACCCTCTCCTTGAAACTCTTGTAAATCTTATATGGTTCTCTTTTTCAGCAGTAGACATTAAGAAAACATGGGAAGAGGTAGGCTAGCTTTGAACCCCCAGATCAGACAGATATACAAACATCTGGTGAAGTGTCGAGCCTGTTCCTGGAGGACACGGTGTCTCACATGTAAGAGTTTCCGGAGTCTTCTCCAGTTGTGTGGTGTTGCTCCTTCACTGAGAAGCCTGGGGCACCAGCCTGGACAGAGCAGAGGGGCCCCTACTATCCCAGGCACCCCATTCCTGGTTCTGCCCACTAAGAATGACTGGGAGGCACATCCGGGAGGGTGTTCGGCTCCGTGAGCGACAGTTCACATTCTAGACTCCGTTGTCTGGACCCCACATTTTCCCTCTGTTGTTATCAAGTCAACATGTCTGGACACCCGGAGGGACCCCTCCCCATAACCGTTTTCAGTGAGAAAGTCAGATGGAAAAGGAGGGTGGCTGCCACTGTCAGGCTGGAAGGTGGGACATTTGCTCTGCTGTGGATGAAACAGCTGGAGGCCACAGGAAGTCCCCCTCGGATGCCATGATTGGTAAAGAGCAATCCCGTTGTAACTGGACCAAGGGAGCTTGGCTCCTCGGTGAGGGAGAATCAGAGACCACCCAGGGGAAGTTCCCTGACAAATCTCTTTGTTTTACAGGGAAGGGATCACAGGGAATAATTTCCAAAGCCATAATGCAGAACAGGGGCAAGTAGGCTCGATATTAGGGCTGGAGAAGAATATTCAGAGGGGGATTCTAACACTATAATGAGACTGAGTTTACTTTCAGCCAATTTCTGATTCATCTGCTCATTTCTATCTGTGTATTCAGTGATAAATTCCAAGCAAAACTGCTTACATTCCCTTACTCACTCCTCCCTAAAACCCCAGGAAGGAGAAATGCCTCCTGTCCCATGTCACAGAGGAGCCACACTGTGCCACGGCCATGCCTGCGGTCAGCTGGCCAGCCTGGTTCCCGCTTTCTTGGGGGTCACCTGTCCCTTGCACAGACTGCTGCACACCCTCTCTGGCCTCAGGAGGGTTTGCAGGGAGGCAGCTAGGAACGGTTGATGCCAACAGTCAGATCCATCAGAAACATCCTTCCTGTGCCCAGATTGGTGGGAAGTCACCTGGCAGAGAAGAGAAGGGGCGACTTGAACTCAGGCCTACAATGGCACCTGGGCCCTGCCCCCAGCTCAGAGTTCAGCTCTAGAACCTCAGGACTTCCTCTGTGCGAGGAGGAGAGGACAATGCCCTCTGCACACTATCAGAAGGGCAGCAGGTTCTCCACAGCACCTCACACGTATCCTGAGCGCTGATGACCACAATCATGCTTATTGTTCACAAATGCTCCTCTTGTAGCCAAACCCTCTCCCCCCACCCCTGTGGTGTCAGGCCCCACGGCCAGGGCCTCGCCGGAGCAGACAGTGAATTTCATCTGCAAGTCCCACGGCTTCTCCCCCAGAAACAACACCCTGAGATGGTTCAGAAACGGAAATGAGCTGGCAGCCTCCCAGACCAGCGTGGACCCAGAAGGAAACAGAACTTCCTACAACATCTCCAGCACAACCAGGCTGGTGCTGGCCCCGGGGGACGTTCGCTCCCAGGTCATCTGGGAGGTGACCCATGTGACCCTGCAGGGGGGCCCTCCTCTTCGTGGGATTGCCAACCTGTCTGAGGTCCTCCGAAGTAGATGCCCCTTCCCCACCCCAGCCCCAGCCCGGGTCTGGCCCCAAGTCTCTGAGACTGTCTCTCCCCCGCTCCCTGCCCCAAGCCCTCCATTCACTGGAGTCTGACCCCTGACAGTCCCTCCAGGTCACCTGCACCTATATGTGCTGTCACCTTCTACTCTTTCCATGGCTGCTGGGTCATGAACGCCTACCATGTGCCAATTACTGTGCTCAGTAGTTTCCCTTACTGTACTGTAGCAATTCCAATTATTGAGCACCTGCTGTACTCCATGCCACTGTGTGCTTGGTGAGGTCATTTGTTTTGCTACAGTTATTCTATTCCAACTGTATGCGTGGGGCTGAGTATTTTGATTTCACTCATTCTTAGCCTATGAGGAGCCATCAATCCTTGAGCACTTACTGTGTGCTGGGCACTGTGCTTAGGGATTTCATTCATATGCAAGGACTACCCTCAGTGTTTGAGCCCCAACTGCATGCCTCACCCTGTTCTGGGTGATTCCCTTGCTGTGTGGGGGGAGCTAAGTTCTCGAGCTCCTCCCCATGGTCCATCTGTTCCATAAGGTGAGAGCTTCTGCCCTGTGCTGTTTCAGTTCCGCCCACCATGGAGGTTTCCCAGCAGCCCCTGTCACGGGACCAGGTGAAGGTCACTTGCCAAGTGAAGAAGTTCTACCCCCAGCACCTCCAGCTGACCTGGTTGGAGAATGGCAACGTGTCCTGAACAGAAATGGCCTCAAGGGCCTCAAACCTCGTAGAGAACAAGGATGGGACCTTTAACTGGACGAGCTGGCTCCTGGTGAACTCATCTGCCCACAGGGAAGATGTGGTGTTCACCTGCCTGGTGCAGCATGACGGGCAGCCCGCAGTCACCAGAAACCATACCCTTGTGGCCTCTGCACACCAGAAGGACCAGGAAACCCATAAAACCCAGGGTGAGACCTCAATGAGCCTTTTTCTTGCATCCTGCTCCCTGCTTCCTCACCTGACCATGATTAAGTCACCATGCCTGGCCAGACACCCCTCCCCCTGTTATTTCCCACCTAGCATGGTCTCTATCCATTCTACACTTTTCCATCATCACCACGGAAAATGTCTGCACTTGGCATTCTGAAATTCCAGAAAGGACTCTGAGTATCTTTAGTTTTGAGTCTTGACCAGGCTTACGGGTGACCATGTGTGGTCACACCTGGGGTCTCTTCTCTCCCTTTATTTGTGACAGCAGACAGCAATAGTCATGATTGCTCAAAGCACATTTACTTTATGCCAATTCCAATTCATTTCTGGTCTCCTTTCCTACTTAACCAACCCTGTGACCTGGAATTTTACAGAAGGGACTCGGGGTGAAATGAAGGATCAATGATGAATATTTCCTGCCCTTAGTACAGCTGATGAGCTAAGCTAGTCGAGGGAAACCTGAGTCCCTGAAGATGGACCAGCAACGTGTGCAAATAAAAGGGGGGGATTGATTATAGCAGGGGAGCGTTGTCCCAAAGAACAATGGAGTCCCCTTTCTACAACTAAAGCATTCCTTATTTCTCTTTCATATACAATCAGGGGGAGGTCAACCAGTTTTCAAGGAGTCTTTGTTCCAGAAGATCTTTCAAAGGTCCACGTTCCTTCTAACATGCCCAATGACAGTGTCCTCTTGCCTGGGTCAACACTGGGCCACCGAGTGTTCCTGTCACTGCTGGCCAGGAGACTAGAGATAGGAAGGGGAAAAGGAACGATTTCCCTTAAAACTAGAGGTATGCAGAAGTTGCATAATTGTGTCCACTAATGACTTAGTCATGGATCCACATCCAGTTCCAAATGGAGTCCACACTTGTGTAGTCATGTGATTAATGACATGGTTCTTTCTATAAAACCAATACTATTACACTCTTAGTAAAATTAACAATAATTCCAGTATCATCTAAAATGGAGTATACATTCCAGTTTCCCAAAGCTTCTTCTATTAACTTTATTTTGTGGACCTAACTTGGTTTTAATTCAACTGTAAATGCTTAAAAGAATTCTCCTGTGAAATACCTGGGTCTCCATGATTCTTTTTTTTTCCAATATTTATTTATTTATTTCACAGAGAAAGAGATCACAAGTAGGCAGAGAGGCAAACAGAGAGAGAGAGAGAGAGAGGTGGAAGAAGGCTCCCTGCTGAGCACGGAGCCCAATGTAGGATTCCATCGCAGGACCCTGGGATCATGACCTGAGCCGAAGGCTGAGGCTTAACCCACTGAGCCACCCAGGCGCCTGATTCTTTTATTTCTCTGAAAAGAATCTGAATAGCTAGGGCTACTCAAATACTTCATTTCATATTGAATGCTTGTGGTAGGCTGTGCTTTTGAGAAATGTGGTCTTTTTCTCTGTGTTGTCAAATTTTTGCACATATATCTTCTCATAGTATTACCTAGTAATCCTTGTGATGTCTGTAGGGCATCCCATTTCATCCCTGATATTGGAAATGGGTCAATTCTCATTTTTTTTCATTGTTACAATGGTTAGAAGTTTTTCAAATTTATCAGTCTTCTCAAAGAACCCACTTTCATTTTAGTGATATTCTCTATTTTTTGTTGTTAATTTCTTTGCTTTTTCTCCTCTTTTTTTTATTTCCTTCTCTTGATTTGGGCTTATTTTGCTCCTCCTCATTTTTTTTTGAAATGGGAAAAAATTATCAAGTCTAGACTTTTCTTTGTTGGAAAACCACAGCTGGGCCTCCTTCTGGTCTTGGGGAATAGGGAGTGTGGACTCAGGATACCTGGTGTGGGTTCCTCCTCCAGAATGGAAGCAACTAGCCCACCTGGCTTCCTCTTCCACCTTTCAGAACCCTCCATGCGTGGACCTCACATGAGTTCCAGGGGGCAGGCTTCTACTGAGCCAGGAGAGGTGGGAGAGATGAGTCCATACCATCTCCTGCCCTTTCCTATGCTTGGTGAGGGTGGGAGGGGAATGGTATAAGGGGATGTGCATTTGGACTGGGAGATTTTTCTCTTTTGTCTCCAGAGATTCTGCAGTTTGGGCATTGCTCTTCAAGGACTACCGAGAGCCAGTTTTCCATAGAATTTACTGTCCTTTTGTTGTCTTTCATTTGGGTTGAGAGGCTATATTTGGAGATGAGTAGTTAAGCCTCTGTCTCGTACTCAGCAGCCCATTACAAAGTGCCCACAGGGCTTTGAAAGTCTTGGCCCCAGTGTCCCTATCCCACATCTCAGTATCCATCTCCCATATTTCCCAATCAGGGCCCTACTCCAGCACAGTAGGTGCAGTGTAGCTGAGAAGTCAGTCCTCTCTGTAGCACTGATACTCTTATGTTTATTTTGGACCCAACTGTGTCCTCAACTTTTTCTGTCTTCCAGCTCTAGGAGGTAAGAGTCTGCACTGTTGCACTGAAAGTCCCCTGACATTCACACATAACCTTTCACATGTGATCAGTCTTCGCTTTGCACTGTCTTTCTCCGAAGGGTTGATGCCCTGCAACAGTCACTCAACCCGTAGTTCTTGTAATTATCACGTCATCAGAATGCCAGGATACTCCCCTCCTCTGCTTACACCAGCCCAGGTCACCACAGTGAGGTTTCAGCAGTGACAAGGGCAGGGCAAGCCGACACCTACCCTGTTCTACCTCCCACAGGGCTGGGGGCCTCCTGACCAGCTGGCAGAAAGAGACCTTGGTACAAATGGGCCCATTAGAGTTGGCTTTCCAGACCCCAACCAGACAAACTCCACACATCAGGTGACCCAAGAGGGAGACTCTCGGGTGATATAAGAGAGAAAGCTCACTGTGGGGTGCTGCCCGGTCCACATGCATGAGAGAGCGAAGGAGTCAGGCCTGGCAAAGGGAGATGTTGACACAATTCAGCATGGAAAGACTCAGTCTCGGACAGAGAGCAAGCAAGCTGAATGCTCTTCATGAGTTGTTTTAAATGGAGAGGAATGGTTTAGCCTCTGTTCCCCCACTTCCTCCAGCCTTCTGCTGCAGGCTCCCCTCTAGAAACAGGTACAAACATGAACAGTACAGCTCTTTCACTCAGAAAAAGTCCAGTGCCCCCCACCCTCCGCAGCAGAGAGCTGTCATTCTCTAACATGCCAGGGGCAAATATGGTGAGGCCCTACTCCTTCCTTTAAGATTGCTCTATATATATCAGAAATATACTTGTTTTTTTTTAAGATTTTATTTATTTATTTGACAGACAGAGATCACAAGGAGGCAGAGAGGCAGGCGGAGAGAGAGGGGGAAGCAGGCTCTCCACTGAGCAGAGAGCCCGATGTGGGGCTTGATCCCAGGACCCTGAGATCATGACCCGAGCCGAAGGCAGAGGCTTAACCCACTGAGCCACCCAGGCGCCCCTATACTTGGATTTTTAAAATTCAAATATAAAAAGAAAAATGGGTCATTGTACAAAGTCCAAAAATTGGGAGCTGTTCTTCCAGACCCAACATCTATCTCCAACACAAAGACGTCAGCCGACAGTGAGTGGCACAGGGTTCAGTTGGGCTGGATGGTGTTTGAAACTCTCTTGAGCTTAAGACCCCATTTCCTTGCCTCCCCAGGATATTGTTCAGCCAGCAGGTCTCCTGAGGTCAGGTCATCCTGAGGACACCCTCCTCACCTCTGTACATGGGTGTCGTCAAACCGTGAGCATGGAGCAAAGCAGAACAGCCTTGCCCCTCACTGGCTGTGATATCTGTTCTCACTCCACTTGAGGCCAGGCAGACATTTGACCCTATGGCCCAGAGAGTTTGGCTTTGTCCTGGTCCAAAGACAAGATCTCAGAGTCATCCTTCAGGCCAGCAGTGAGGGGGTTTCCCTGGGTCTGAGCCACCTCATCTGTCCACCCTCTGTAAACTAGGAGCCTGTTAGCTCATCAGAAAGAGGCTGTTTGACCTGTGCCACTGGGTGTGAGGACCAATTCAGTAAACCAAACTTACCCATTCCTGAGTGGTCCCTCTCCCCACCTCTTCCCTCAAGAAGGACACCTGGCAGTGAGAAAGGGGTGAGTGAGGTGAGGAACGTCTTACCCCGAATTCTGCCTTGAGCAGGGGAAGAATTCATGAGCTTCAGAGCGTTGATAAGCCTGAGTCACTTCAGATAGAGTAAGTGGAGGCCCCAGGGAATGGACTCTAGGGTACCCCCTTCTGATGGTGCCTCCTATCCCTTCTTTTCCAGAGTCAAGGCCATCTACTCCAATCCTGATGGCTGTCACCCTGGGCCCGAAGCTGCTGCTGCTCATCACTGTCTCTGCCATCTATGTCCACAAGAAGCGAGGGTCTGATTGTAAGTTGTGGGTCATGGAGGGCGGGCCAAGGTGAGTCCCAGAAAGAGCCAGGTCAGGTAGAGGGGCAACCCACAGGTTACACAGGGTCAGCGCCCACCTGCCGTAAAGAGCATGTGACACACCTCCCTTGATACCCTCAGGAGTCTCAGGGGTCCAGGCTCCCTGAGGTGTTGGGGGAGGGGGCGTTTAGCCTATAAATGTGGACAGGTTCAAAGGAGGTCAAAGAGTGTGGACAGAGTCCTAGGGATTCTGGGAAGGAAATGGGCAGAGGGGCTGAATGAGAGGCAGCTGGGTGGGAGGATCCCTTGGAGACCATCACTAGATTATGGAGCACTGGGGCTCCTTTGGGAACAGGATGTCTGCATTTAGAGGAATGCTAACAGGTGCCAGAGGGCTGCTCTGAGGACAGCTTCCAATCCAACCCTCTGTGGGATATACTGGAGGGGCTGGGAAGGGGGGATCAAGCCCTAAGGGAGGAAGGCTTAAGTGGCAGCGTCCTCTATCAGGGGCTGCCTGTCCTTTCACAATAGGTGTCCCAGGAGGAAAATAGCACCAAGGATAAGAGACACGTGAGGAATATTTCTGGAATGATGAGCAGATAATCAACTGTGAACATGGGTCCCACAGCTCCTTCTTTCCTCCCCTACTACATGCCACCCTCAGTCTCTGCTGCCTCCTTCCTTCCTTGAGGGGCCCAGCCAAAGAAAAGGAACAACTAGGAGCTTCCCAACACTGCCCCAAATACCCTCTTCTTCCAGAGACCCACCTGCCCACAGTCCCTTCTGCTCCTTCTAACAATCCTTGATGCCCTTAGAGCTGGGTCTTCATACCAGGTCCTCAGAGGGGCCATAGGAAATTTCTCTGGGGACTGATGCATGGGTATGTGCCTGAATGTGAGAAACAGTTCCCACCTACACATACCAGGTGTCTATCATTCATCTTCTGGGGACTATGGCCACGAACTGCATGCTCACGTCCATGTTCTTGGGAGTTATTTCTGCCAACCCCCAGCCATTCCAGACTTGGTGAGGTTCTTCACTGGGTCTCAAATAAAATGAATCTCATCCTGGTTTGAAGAAGAGAAATGATTCTCCTTCCTCTTTGCCTACATGTCCTACTCCTAAGTCCCAGGGACAAGATGCCCTCCTCCCTGTGATGGAAACACTAGCTCTTCTGTCACCTTCATCCTTCCCAGCCCCACTGCTCATGTACATGAGCTGGCAGTTGAGAAGCCTGGAGCCATCCTCGGTTTTCTTACTTTATATCCCATATTCAGTTCTGCCTTCAGATGCTACATCCAGTGGCCAGATGGTAAATGTGAAGCAGTCTACTCAGGGAAAGGAAAAGAAGCCTGATTTGTAGTGCTCATGGACTTCCGTGGTGTCAACACTCCCAATGTTACCAATGGCAAGATAACAGTGTTTCACAACTTGCTTATAAAATTCTTGAGAAGCTCTGAGGAGTGAGTGTAAGCCTCCTCCCAAAACCAGTGAGCTCCACCCAGAATCCGCACAATGCTCACCCCAAGGCTGCTCCCTGGTCCTGGCCACCAGCACTCCTTCCTGGACCATTCTTCGTCTCTTACAGGCTCTCCAGTTTCAGCTACAGTGATTCCATGGCAATGGAAGTCAAACTGTGTCTTTCCTCTGCTTCTTCCTGCTAAAGATCTGTATGACACTCTCTTCCTCTTTTAAGCTCTGTTTACAGGTCACCTTATTAAAAAGTCCCTTCCATAAACCACCCTGTATGAAATAGCAATTCCTTTCTCTCACTCTGTATTCCCACAGCTCATAACCTAATTAAATTGTTTTCGTAGAACTTAAGATTAGTTGACTGACAAATGGAGGCAGTGCTCACTTTGCACAATAGTGCAGGACAGAACAATGATGGTGCAGCTCAAACCATGCAAAGTGAACTCAACAAACCGGGGAGAATAACGATTTTTATGTGACCTTTAAAAACGTTTTTAAAACACAGAAATTTTCCAAATGTCAATGACGAATGTATAGGAAACTGAAAAAACAATAGAACCATTATTTATTGGGTGTATTGTCATTTCAAATATTAGAAACACTGAAAAGGGAAGCATTTTGTTATTTTGTAAAGACTCGTCATGAATAGTTTGCACAGTGCTAACCTTCTTCTGATTGCATAGTTGACCATATAGGGCCACCATCTGAATTACCTCACTTCAGTCTCAATTGGGATCATCTTCCAACATTCAATCCCTTGTACTTTCAATGTTGTGAAATCCTTACAATATTAATTTGAATACTTCTGGTGTCAGATCCTTGAGATATTTTACCTTCCCTCTCACCACCTTCTTCAATGATGTGGTAAGCTTGTCTCACTCTGTTCCTCTGGCTGCATATCCACACTCTGGGGACCAGCACCCCGTCACCATTCCCCTGGTAGCTATGCCTTCATGAGCTCCAAATGATTTATCTAGATACTTCAAGCTCAGAAGGGAGCTTAACTGCTTACTCCTGCAGCGCAGTCACTGGTGTGACTCTCCTCCAAAGGTGACAGGATGGCACGGAGGAATAGGGAGTAACTACAGAGGGACCACTAGACAAATTCAGTCCAGCCACATCATCACGAGTTCACCAATACTCATAAACCATGGCCACAGTGTGCTCCCTGATATGATGTGTTGAAAAGGACACTTTTCCTCTGTGATCTTCCTCCCCAAACCCACTCCCCTAGTCTGTGTATGAGAAAAGCATCCGACACATTGCAATGAGGGACATTCCACCATATACCAGAGCAGCACGCCAAACTGTCAGGCCATTGTTATCAAGGAAAGTCCAAGAAGCTGTCACAGCTGAGAGGAGCCTAGAAAGACATGACAAGAAAATGTAATGTGGGATCCTGCATGGAATTCTGGGACAGAAAGGGACATGGAGTGAAAACTAAGGAAATCTCTTCTGGACTGAATAGTTGTATCTCTCTAACGCTCATGGGATTTGGAGGTGGGGACTTTGCAGATAATGAGGTCATGAGGGTGGAGTCCTCATGAATGGGATCATTGCTTTCATGAAAAGGGGCCAGACAGGCAGCTCACTCCATCCCCCAGGTGAAAACACAAGTAGTTGGCATTCTGCAACTTCAACGAGAGATCTCATCACAACCCAACTATCATGGCACCCTGATCACAGACTTCCAGCCTCCAAGACTGTGAGAAATAAGTTCCTGTTGTTTCAAGGCATCCAGTTTATGCTATTTTGTTATAGCGGCCCAAGCTAAGACAAAGTCAAACTATGGATTTTGGTTAATAACAATGCACCAATATTCATTCACTAATTATAGCAGAAGCAACCAATTATTGTAAAATGCTATAAAGGGGGGATACTGTATGCACCTACATATTGGACTCTGTGTGATTGTCGCCATTTTTCTCTAATGTAAAACTATTCCAAAAATGTAACTCTCTTCTAAGAAAATAATGTCAACATCTTGTCCTCAGCTGGTTCTCTGCCTCTTGCACACGCTGGAGGGCAATTCAAGGAAATGTGTGGTGGGGAGATGTCTGTGTTTCTATACCCAGATTTTATCTTACTTCCCAAGTCTAAGTTTCCTCTTCCTTTCTCTATCCTCTGTCCTCTGCTAGAGCTCACTCCAAAGCCTAGCACTCAGAGATCCCTGAAGAACCTTCTTCTCAGTCCATGATATTCACTCTAAATGTTTCCAATTAGTGAAGCCCATGTTAGATCAGGTGGAGTCAGAGATCTCTGGGTGCTTGGGTGAAGTAGGGTAGCTTTAAGACCTCAGTGGTGGATGCACTTAATCCATGTCCTGTCCCCAAGCAATTGAGGTGGAAAGGACTCTGCAGAGGGTGGTGGATCCTGTAATACACCAGGCTTGAGGAGATGGCCCTTAGCTGTCAGCCCTCTTTGAGATCGCCTCAGTTGAGGAAAGCCTACATGCCCAAGGTCAAGCCTGGGACCTTGCCACATCCAGTGTCTCATCAACATGGGGATGGAGCCCCTTCCATCCTCTACGACAAAAATCATCACCATCTCCAAAACTCTAACCTCTTTCCACACCATGTCTTTGAGCCTCTACGTCAGTAGGGGTGCAGCCTGGTGAGACTGGGATGAGATGAGGCTCAGGAATGAGCACAAGCATGTGGATTCCATAAGCTCTGGAAATCGCAAGCAACTGGCCCCGTAGGTTCTCAGCTTGTGGCCGCCTTGCCTTTCCATTTGATAATCTCAAAGAAAAAGTGTTAAAAGTCCCCTGGTCATTCCTACATCATAATCCCCTTCCTCTGACATCATGGAGGGACGGAGGGTCTTCTCTCCTCAGAGCATAGAGTCCTTGGCCTCTCTAGGACAGCATTCAGACCGAGAAGGCTCCAGGGGTCACCACAATGCCTGTCTCTGCCTCCCCACTGTGCTGACCTCTGCCATCCCTACTTCTGACACTGCTGCTGGCATTTACAGGGGAATGGGTCCTCAGGTGTATGTGCTGGGGACACTCCTATGCCTTTTTACTGTGTTCTTTTCACCTGTTTACCTAGAATTTCTTGGGGAGAGAATTTTTCTGTCCTCCTCAGAATTTACAGAACTAAACTGGAAGGGTTCCCAGCTCACAAAAACTCCCAGTGGCTGTGTCTGTCCCACACATTTTTGTTCAGGGAATAGTTGCACGCTAATGGCCACAGGGCTGAGCACAGCACAGACATCAGAGTTCTCATCCCCCAGCCCCTAGGAACAAAGAACCTGTCTTTTCATTTTACTACCACCACACAGATGCTACCTCTTAATGGAAAACAAATGTTGGAGAACATGAAATTATAAAGCAGGACAAGAACCTACAATGCTTCCATCCAAAGATGACCACTATTAAAAATTTACAGAGTTTTTGTGCTCATGGAATATTGTCCAGAAGTGGTCACTAGAGGTCTCCCTGGATCAGTAATGGAAACTGAACCCTACAGGCTCTCCAGAGAACTAAATATTTCTGTTTCTACTTGCTGAAAAAGTTAACAAGCTTGTGGAGTCTCCTCCCCATGACCATTGGTCCAAATACCTAGAATAGCCAACTCAAGATTGACACCATTGGGCTATAAGACTTCCAAGAAAGCTACAGTAACTGAAACAGTGACTTTGGTGAAAGAACCGGCAGACAGATGAATGCAACAGAATAGAAAGTCCAGAAATACACCCACATAAATACAGCCAACTGATCTTTGAGAATGACCAAGATAGTCTTTTCGGCAAACGGTGAATATCTGGACATCGGGACATCCAAATACAAAAAAAAAATTGCTTCTACATACAGACCTAACAGCCTTCATAAAAATAACTCATACATAATACACAAAACTATAAAATTCCTAGTAGATATCATGGAAGAAAATCTAGATGATCTTTGATATGGATTACTTTTTTTTAAATTTTTTAATTTATTATCAGCGTAACAGTATTCATTGTTTTTTGCACCACACCCAGTGCTCCATGCAATCCGTGCCCTCTCCAATACCCACCACCTGGTTCCCCCAACCTCCCAACCCCCGCCCCTTCAAAACTCTCAGATTGTTTTTCAGAGTCCATAGTCTCTCATGGTTCACCTCCCCTTCCAATTTCCCTCCACACCCTTCTCCTCTCTAACTCCTCTTGCCCTCCATGCTATTTGTTATGCTCCACAAATAAGTGAAACCATATGATAATTGACTCTCTCTGCTTGACTTATTTCACTCAGCATAATCTCTTCCAGTCCCATCCATGTTGCTACAAAAGTTGGGTATTCATCCTTTCTGATGGAGGCATAATACTCCATAGTGTATATGG